AGCAACACCCACTAAGTCCAGACGAGGTGAGGGAGGGCCCCTGAGGCCACGCCTCCTGGCTCAGGGGGGCTCTGAATGACTGGTGGGCGCAGCCCCAAGCAGGGCCGTGAAGCCTGCAGGACGCTTCTCTGCCCAGCAGGGCCCCCTGCAAGCCCCCTGTCCATCCTCGAAGGCAGTGCCGGGCACAAGGCGCTGTGAGTGCCTGAGTCTGGGGACACAACACCAACCCGCCACGTGACCTGCCCACGTCAGGGGTCTGTACCGGTGCTCCTGCACCGAACAGGGTACATGCCACAAACCGAACTGCCATGTCCACCCAGATTCACAGGGGGAGGTCCCGACCCGGCTGGGCTGTATTTGGAGACTGAAGGAGTTCACCATGGTCAACAAGGTCACACAGGCGGTGCCCTTATCCAGGAGGATAAGGGAGAGGACACACAGGGAGAAGACAGGAAAGGCCACGCGAGGGGCGGCCGTCCACAAGCCCTCAGCGGGACCAGCCCTGGCCACGCCTCCATCTGGCCACGCCTCCATCTTGCCCTCCAGCCTCCTGCAGCTCAGCCGATCCCGCCCGCCGCGGAGGCCTCCTGCTCAGCACAAAGCATGGACAGGCGGGGCAGTGGAACTGCGGGACCCCCACGGGCCGAGCGGCCTTCTCGTCACACTGTAGCAGGGCTGCTGCTGCCCGCCCGCCCGCCCGGCCACCGTGGGCACTGAGCTGGGCGCTGGCTGCGTGCGCCAGGACCTCCCTGCTGTTACTGTTTCCCCGCTGGGACTCCTCTGCCGTGTGAGCTGTCTCTTCCCCGTTGTGGAGGTCAGAGTGCACCCACGTCACCACCTCACACTTCACGCAGTCCCTCTCTGGCTACCTGCTGCTCGGTCGCTCCAGCCCTGCCCGCTGGTTCCCTGCAACACACCGGTCACTGAGGGCAACTAAAGCTCCTCTCCCTCTCTGGCCCCACGAGATGCGCCAGGCTTGTCTGGTGCACCTCTACCCAGCCCAACAGTCAGCGGCCCCTCCAGGGAGCCCAGGGTCCGCTTCCTGGAGAAGGGCACTAGACACCAAGCCCCGGGCACTGGGTGCTCTCACCGCTGCTCAGGAGCCATTTCTAGGCCGTCTCGGCTGACGAGGCAAGAAAATGCACACGTGACACTGGCCGGGCACCTGCAGGCATCCAGCCCAGCACGCAGACCGTCCGAGATGAAGAAACCCTCCTGCGTGGAAACTGAGTCCCGGCACCCGCTGTCCCACTCCTCTGGGCCCCCTCCCTCCACTCAGGGGCCTGCTCCAATGTCCCCGAGAGGACATCCCCGACTCCCTGTGGAGCAGCCGCCAGCCACAGCCTCTGAGCCCTGAACGTAGCCGGTGAGCCCCACCTCCACCGCACGACCTCAGCTCTGCCTGCACCAGCGGGGCAGGCTCAGCCACACTCCTGGGTCCCCAGTGCTCTGTCTTCCAGCCCTTCTAATTCCACATTGCCACTCTCGGCCCCTTCCCCGCTCACTGCTTTCTCCTCCAGCCTCTCACTACCCACAGCTGAGCCAGGTTTGCCCCCGGTGCGCTGTTGCACATCTGCTCCCTCTCCCGTACAAGCAAGCACCCTGGGCGCGGACTCCCGGCTGCTTCCCTGTGCGCCCAGCCCGAGCGTGCAGCCGGTGCACAGTGCACTGAACGCCCGTCTCTGGGGGCGGGTCTGACGGAGGGGAGGATGCCACTGCTGACTCGCGACCCACAGAGGCGCTGCCTTTCCTGGGGCGGCTGCTCTGGCCAGACCTTCCTGTTCCACCTCTCATTCTGCGCCCCTATTCCTGATGTTTAAAACAGCGAGTTTAGAAGCGGGCATTTGACTCGGTGGATAAATCACTGCCTGGGGCACCTACATCCCTTGTCAGAGTGAGGCTGCTCTGCTTCCAGTCCAGCTGCCCGCTGATGCACACCCTGGGAGGTGGGAGGTGATGGCTAAGTGCTTGAGTCCCTTCGCCCCTGTGGGAGGCCAGGTAGAATTCTGGGCTCCTTGCCCTGGCTTTGCCCAGCCCTGGCCACTGTGGGCATCTGGGGAGTGAACCAGGGGATGGAAGATGGATCTCTCCTTCTCTGTCTGCCTTTCAAATAAAATGAAAATAAACTTTAAAAAACAGTAAATAATAACAAGCTCACTTCCGAATTAACTAAAGAACAAGAGGACAGGTGCCAGTCTACCCCCAGCGCCTCGGTGCAACGCACAGCTCCCTGCTGTGGCTGGCACACCCCGGGCAGACTCTCACCAGCTCTCCCGAGCAGGGCACTGGCGGTCAATGCTGGCTCAGCAAGGCTGCCTGCAGGACACTCCTCCTCCCGGCCGCCACCTGGCCTGAGACAGCACAACCAAGGTCGTCTGAGTGACCCGAGACACTGCAGGAAGCCGAGCTGCAGGAGCTCATGCAAGGACGGCCCACTCTGCCCTTGGACACAACGCTGACCTCACAGACTCTTCCCAGCTGGGGCCCGGCTGAAGCCTCAGCAGCGCCCACCACGGGAGGAAGTGAGAAAGGCTGCCCCGGCGGGCTCACCCACGTGAGGACGAGGCCACGGGGGAGGTGGAGGGAAATCCGAGGTCATGCGCCAGAGGGAGCCCTCCCTGAGCCACCTGAGTCCCTCCCTGAGCCCCCGAGCCCCTCACGAGCACCAGACACTGCATCTTGGAGCGCAGGGGCAAGCCCGGCCCACCACAGGCCATCAAAGAGCAGCGTCCACAGCTGTCCCACCGGGAGCCCTGCGGCACGCGTTCCTGTCGCCTCTGCGCCTGCCCTTGTTTACTCCCTGTCAACGAATCCTCCATGTCTACGCACCCAACACGTCAGAGAGCAGCCTGCAGGGCGGGGCGAGGCTGGGGGAGTCAGAGCAAGCGCTGCCTGAGGGATCGGACGGTAATGGACCAGGAGCAGTGAGCTGCAGGCCAACGCAGGAGCGGCCCAGGGGTTCCCCTCATCCCAGGCCCTGGCATCAAGGGTGCGTGTGTCCCAGCCACTCTGGGGAGCGAGGAGCAAAAAGGCCAAGCCGGCGTGCATGCCACTGGAGAAGCCTAAAGGTGGCAAAGGCTGCAGCTCGCCTGGGCGCCAGGGCTGCAGGGACAGCCCCCGGCACCCCACACCCTGGACCCACCCCTGTGACGGGGCCCTCCGCGAGCTCCCTCAGTCCCGTCCCACGCCAGTGACCATGCACTGCGGCTCGCCTGGGCGCCAGGGCTGCAGGGACAGCCCCCGGCACCCCACACTCTGGACCCACCCCTGTGACGGGGCCCTCCGCGAGCTCCCTCAGTCCCGTCCCACGCCAGTGACCATGCGCCTCACCCGCCTCTGCGCTGCTGTCTCACTTGGGCGTGGTCGGGGCAAGCGCTTAGCAACAACCTCTGGCCAAAGCAGGGCCCAGGAGGATTCAAGCCACCTTGCGAGGGGTTAAGGAGTTACAGAAACCTGTAATGGCCCAGCTAATAAACACCCTGGTTTGGGGGAGAGTAATCACCCGATTGCTATCCTATGATTACTGTGTATTTTCATTGCCAAAAGATGCAATACAATTTCATGGTTACTTGGCCCTGTAAAATAGAAATACCCCCAATTTTTAAGATATGAAAAGGTTTATGATCAGGATACTGTCAGTTCAAGAATGAGCCCATGGTATAAATGAGTCAATTCATGACAAAATTTAATTTCAGGAAAATTAACTCAATAAAGATGCCGCAATTGTGCTTAAACTTTTAATGCCTGTTAGGAGTTTTCAGCGAAGTGGTGCAGGACCAGGCACGAGCCAATCCATTTCCTGGCTCCTCAAAATGCGATTGACTTAATACCTAATTTATTCATAATGGGGACAGTATTATGAGGAACTCTGTGTTTAACGAGGGGGCCTGGGCCTTGAACAGCCTAACCAATCACAAAAATGGAGAGCGTTCGCAATTTACGGGGCATTAAGTTTTGTTTCCTGTAATACCACAGAGAGCAGACCAACAGCACCAGGCCAGCAGCCACCTCAACCAAACAGCCCCAGGTGAGGCTTCACGCGCCAGCCGGCGCCGGGGCCACGAACCCTGTGGCTGCCACGCTCCTAGGAGAGCAAATCCCAAGTGGGGGCTGTGGTGAAGGTCATGAGACGGCAAAAGTGAAAGCAGTCAAGACACGGGTCCTCGGGGCCCGCGGACCCGCCCTGCACTGTGGCCACAGTCCCTGGGACCAGTGTCACTCCAGGTGAGTCACAGGAAAACAAGCTCCGAACAGGAGGCCTGGAGGCAGAGGGCCCAACAACCCAGATCAGAGAGACCCCCACCCTCTCTGGCTGCCCACACCCCCTCCCCGCTCCCACCGTGTCCACGCACACGGAAGGCTCTGATGTTGAGCCTGACCCCTGGGGCTCACGCTACCTGACAGGAAAGCCCGATGCCCGGGCCCCGTTTTCCAGACACCCCCACCTTTCCCCAATCCCCGAGGCAGCTGCCCCCTCCCAGGCCTTAGCAGGCAGCCCCGCACGCTGTGCTCTGGGCAGGAAAAGCCGGCTGGGAGGAGTCGGGATGCAAACTAGCCGCCCCTTCCGGCTTCGGTGCTCAGAGACTCGGTTCCTAATCCCCCATAATGGAGCCTGCTATTTGCAACTGATGATGAAACGCTGGCACCTAAACCCCCACAGTCTGGGCTCAGCTTCAGCAAACATCTGAACAAAATGAAAAGGTGCTAGAATAAGCACGGGGACACTCGAGGGAACAAAGGTGGCTGGTTCCAGAAAACTCAATCTCCTAAAGAAATGAATTTCATCAAAATTGGTGAAGAGTGGAAACTCTCATGTTGCACTGCGTCTGCCCGTGGTTTTTTAAATCTTCATTGCGCTGTAAGTAACTCAGAGCACAAGTGCGGGCCCTGGCAGAAGCAGCTCGAACCCACAGCGGAGCTACACGGACCGCCGCGGGCCGCCGCCAGCTGCACACTCAGAGTGGAGCGGAGACGCCGCCCCGAGGCGCCCGGGCGCTCACCTGGTAGGTGTCCCACAGCCGGATGGTGCAGCGAAGAGGCACTTCCCTCATAAGCAGGTTGTTCATCCAGCGGAAGGCAAACTGCAGGTATCTCACTTCGTGCTGGTCCAGGTGCTGGTGGACTTGCTCTGCGGGACACAAACACAGGCCCCAGGCTGTCAGGAGAGCCCTCGGGGGAGCCCCAGCGTCCAGGCGTGCTGCTCCCTGAGGCCCTGGGCCTGCCTCACAGCCCACATTCCAACAGCCAGGGCAGCCCACGTGGCATCCCCAAGGGACAAACAGCTCCATTAAGGAGAAACTCGGCAGCTCACTCTCCTTGGTGGACCGCCACCGATGACCATGCAGGAACGACGGCAAAGACACAGCTCCCACACCTCCCCAGCCCGAAACCTGCGAGGATGAGCACATGCCAACCGGGGGTCTGAGACTCCAGGGTACGTGGGGAGCTCAGGTGAGCGCCCCCAGGAGTGACACTCCCCCGACAGCCCCTGAGCACGGGTTGGGGCGCCCTGAAGACAGCTGGGCCCTGGCAAGAGCCAGGCTGCACAAAGCATCACTGCCTGAGCGCAAGCTTGCAGCAAACAGCGTCCTGCCTTCCCACCCAAGTCAAGGGCCACACCCAAGGCCCCTGCACCCCTGCAGAAAAGGGGCCGGGGTGCTCGGAGAGCCTGCGAGGCCTTGAGCTCCCGCGAGGATCATTCCGGGAATGATGCGCCTGCTTCTGCGTGCTGCCCCAGCGGCTGCACTGGGAAGAGCTGGTAAGAACCGGTCCCTTCTACACAAACTGGAGGCCAGGGTGGGACTTTGTGTCCATCCGAGCCCGGCACATATCTCAGAAACAGGGCTTTCCCAGCCCGGAGGCCCAGAGGTGGAGGAGGAGGAGTGGGCTGGGGAGGCCCCCGTCCTGTGATCCTCCTGCTTCGTTTAGGAGCCGCCAGGGCCACCAAGGTCAGGAAGTGCTCTTGCCCGCGGAAGAGGAGGCCTTGCTGGGATGGCCCCAGGAAAGCAGAGGCAGCGTCCTGTGTCTCTGCCGTGTCTCTGCTCACTGACACTCCTCCCTCTCTGAGCCACGGTGTCCTCGGCTGCCCAGACAAGTGTGGGACAGGACACCCGGGGCCAGCTGATGGGGGCACAGCTTAAGGGGATGCTGGCTAATGCTGCATAATGGACAGGGTAATACAAGACCAAGGCAAAGAAGATGGGCTGGTGACATCGGGGCGCTGGCGGAGGAGCCCCTCAGGAACCCAGGAGTGGGGTGCCAGGGAGCCTGCAGAGGCCTCAGGCCATTGGTGAGAGAACAGCCAGGGACCAGCAAAAAGAACAGGAGGAAATATGTCACAGACCCTCCACTGGGCTGCTGCTAAAACTCCACCCAGGGCCAGGAACGCGAAGCCACCATTGTTGGAAACTGCTACCCAGAACTTGCCTGGCCCCAAACACCCAGCAGGGCTGCTGCCCACTCCCCAGTGACTACAGACTTACAATATCATTATCACACTCCCAACGCGCACCTGACCTTACAAAGCCAGAAATGGGCAGTCGCTGAATTCCTGGAAATGCCCACCCCCCCAGAAAGCTGAGCCCTGGGCCTCCAGGTCAGAGAGAGGCCGGGGCCTGAACCTCACAGGCTGCGCTCCCTGTGGAGCCCGCACGCCTGCCCAAGTGTGGTCCCTGCTCAGCTAATCCTCTGCTACCTTCAGCTACGCCTCATCCTCAAAGTCTTTCATGTGCTGGAGACCAGAATCAGGCCCCCTGCCCCTCCCCACCCCCACAACTGGACACCCCACTGGAGAGCCCTGAGGAGGATGCCTGGTGCAGGCAGCGAGTGGGACCCCAGAGCCCCACACACCTGTGCCGGGTGCTGCCTCGCAGGGCTCGGCCGGGGAGAGGAGTGGGCCTGAGCTGCCTGTGCTAGGCTCAGGGACGGGGAGCTTACAAGGGGCTGCTCCAGCGGGACGCTCGGCCCCTAGACAGGGAGTTCTTTTTGATTTCAGCCTAGAAGATCCGACACACACCGTGCAAACGTGACTGGCAGACTTCCACCCTCCTGCACCAACCCTTAACGGAATTCTGTGAAAGAAGGACTCCTCACCTGAATTACGCGCAGCTTCAGAGCTGCGAGACGGAAAGCTCCGCTGGCCCCGAGGTGGCTCCCCGACCCAAGCCTGCCCTGTCCCACCGCACAAGGACAGAGGCCGCCACGGCTGGTGCGCTGGCCAAGGCCCATCCCCGTGAAACTCAAATCTGAGGAACGTGGAAACCAGCAGTTCACAGAGCGGCTACACTGGCCGAACAAGCAGAGCAGGAGTCCGCTCTCAGGAACACGCAGCTGGCTGTTCGGGCAAGAGCAGGCCTCAAGACAGCACCAGCTCTGGGGAGAAAATCTGCCAGGAAACAGCGTGCCCGGGGCAGGGAGGCCGAGCCAGGCAGCCTCCCCGGGCAGCGTGAGGGCCACTCCCACAGCAGGCGCCTGGCTCCACTCAGGGGCTCCACGTGACACCCTGGCTGGAGTGCAGCTCTTGCTCAGAGGTGGGCTCTGGCCATGAAAGCCACAAGTGCCGGCCACCGACCCTGTCTGGCCACCCCTTGTTTACCAATGATCCCGCCCAAGACCCTACAGCACCAAGGCAGCGGTGGGACAGCTCCATTTCGTAGCAGATGCGAGTCTTACCAATGCAGGTTCAATGGGGCTTCTGTTCACCTGCAGCCCTAGTGGCCAGGCGCTGGCACAGGCCTGGTCTGCAGGGTGGGGGCAGGAACCCAGCACCCAGAGAAGCACCTGGTGTGTGACCGGTGCTGAAGGACACTGTTAAACAGGCAGCAAACGTGGGAGACAGGGCTGGGGCAAAGCAGGCAGATGGAGCCTGGCAGGGAGTCACCGGGGCGGGACAGCCACAGCCTCCCCTGCCCCGGCTGTTCTGCCGGCGGCACCAGCGGGCGAGCGTGGAGAAGGCCCTCATCTTGCGAAGTGGGCAGGCAGACAGCTCTAACGTGAGCCTGGGGGCAGGCGTCACCTTTCAAAAGCAAACAGCAAGACACTGATTTGAGAAATCAAGCGCGTATTTGTGGAACGTGTGTCACTGAAGTAACCTAGAGGAACAAAGCGAAAATTATCAATTTTCACCCTACCTGTAGAGACTAAGAGGCAGCAGGGCACAGAGAGGGGCCCGGTCCCACCTGACGCTGACTTGGCAAGAAAGGACCCACCCCACTGCGGCGGGGTGAGCGCCCTGCACCGAGCTTCCCGGGCAGCCCCCGGAGGGCCGCCCACCTGGCCCTGACCCTAGGAGACGTAAGCGATCCCAAGGTGCACCGAGGCAGCAGTACTCAAGACAGGGCCCAGGAGCATCCCCCGTGTCCCTGAAATGACTCAAATGCCACAGCAACACGAGGCCCACCTTTGGGTCTCTGGGGACCAGCATGTGGGCACGGCTGCCCCGTCTGTCAGAACAAAGCCCGGTGCTGCTGTGAGCGCCCCGGCCACAGGAAGGGGGAGACGCGTGAGAAAACTGCACGGCAGCAGCCCAGGGCGCAGGCCAGCTGCATCCAGACGGAAGGCGTCTCGCCACACTCGGGAACCCTCCCAGCCCAGGCCACCTGCTGCCCTGGGGTCCACCACCTGCAGCAGACACAGGAAACAGGAAACGGCAGACAGCCTCCACACTGTCTGCTCGGCAGAATCGCCCACACCCGTGTCCTCAGGAATCTGGCCTTCTCTCCTGCCCGAACAGAACTCTGAGCTAAAGGACCTAACAAGACAAAATCCATGTCCACATGGTGGCGACGGCAGCCCCGGGCGTGAGGCCCCTCGCGGGAGTGCTCCGCAGAGCGGCCCAGGCCAAACGGGCTCTCGAGGGCCGAAGGAATGTCCACCCCGGAACAGACGGAGGCGCCGCGCTCGCCCGGCAGCTGTGGCTTCTCTGGAGGCAGTACTGAGGACTGATGCGGAGCCGCCCCAGCTCCCCACCTCCACCTGATGTGCGTAATGAGCTTCTGGCAAGGCTGCCTCCTGCTTGGAACACGGTGACAAATGGACTGCTAAACTCCGGGCATTACTTCCAATTTATATGCATCAGAGCTGCAAACGTATATGCTGAAAAGATCCATTTTTCCTGGTTTACAAGTAATGGTGAGCAGATGCTCTTTCACCGATAAAGGTAATTTGGTTAGCAATAATTCTGAATCTGAAATTTCCATTTCACTGGAAATAAGAGTGTACATATAATGAATAAAAGGCAGTTGTAATTATTGTCATCTTTCAGGCCACAACACTTTCTTCACACACGCCGCACGTGGCAGGGCAGGGCATTGTCACCAAGTCCCCGGGAAGCGGGAAGCAGGGGAGGCAACCACAACACGTCAGCCACTTTTCTCAGCACTTTACACCGCGGAGCCACAGACCGAAAATTCCACTGAAACATCTTGTCTTCTTGATTAAAAATAAAAATAAATTATGCAAACACACTGTGTCCCTGGATTTATGCTAAAATGGAAAAAAACATGTATCCCATTGACTTGGCATAAAAACACACTGTTTATGCAAGCCCAGACACTCCTTGGATTTATTTGCCCAGAAAGGAGGCAGAATTGCCCACACTCAGATACCTGACAAAGAGAACCTCGCTCGAGGCAGGGAGCGGACGCGAACACATCCACTTTGGCTGGCGGAGGGATGAATAGGCTTTGATTTGGAGGGAAGATCTCAATTCTCTCATCAGAGAAAGAAAGGAGAGAAACAAGAGCCGCTGACGGCGAACACGGAAGCCTCAGCTCAGCCCTCCTATGTGCAGGGTGGGCTTACGCTCATGGGAAACAGCCAGGGAAAGTCAGGTTCCCGAGGAGGCAGGCCCAGCCGCCCGGCCAGCAGAGGGCCAAGGAACCCCCCCAGTCGAGACCAGACCAAGAAGTAGGGAGGGGCCAAGGGACCCCCCCAGTCGAGACCAGACCAAGAGTAGGGAGGGGTCAAGGGACCCCCCCAGTCGAGACCAGACCAAGAAGTAGGGAGGGGCCAAGGGACCCCCCTAGTCGAGACCAGACCAAGAGTAGGGAGGGGCCAAGGGACCCCCCCAGTCGAGACCAGACCAAGAAGTAAGGAGGGGCCAAGGGACCCCCCTAGTCGAGACCAGAC